ACATCAAATTAAATGCTTTGTGACAGGGAGTTGCTCGGAAGAAAGACGTTAGGTCTTTCTACGCTAGGACTTCTATATGGGATCAGTTTAATGAAGTATTAATGACTAAAATGATGCAAGTAAATCAAATGTCTTATAATTCCCTCAAAATATAAAATTTCCATTAACATGAAATTCAAACAAGAGCCCATACCATTTACTTTTCAGTGAATGATGAAAAGTTGAATTTAAGTGCAGTTGTGAGTGGCGCTTCAAAACCGAGTGTTGTTAAAAAACAACAATTTTTAACATTAAAAAAGAAGTGAAACAAAACAATGGCGAATTCAAAAAATCTCAACCGCGATTATACATGACATAACCATTTCTTTTTGACAAATTTTTCTTTAAGAATCTTAGGTTGATTAATGAGAGATATAGGTTTTGAATATGTGAAGCATGTACGCAAAAGTATAATGTGAGAGCGAAATACATTATTAATTGACGATACAGTATTTATGGTCGATCAAGAATTATCTCCAACAAAATTATAATATCATCCATTTAGATAAGGATTGGATGAATATAGTTCATACGATTAATTATGTTTGGAGTGACAATACCGTAAACGATCTCAGAGACGGCTTTTTATAGGATTTAACAACAGTTTCGTTCTGTTCCATGCAGGATATGCAAACGCCGAATATTTGGAGCAATAGTTTGAGCAGTCGCTAAGTGATCTTAGGGTTGCTCATTTCTTGCTGGGAAAAACATTTTCTTTGGAGCTGCTGGAAGTTGCTCATGCATGCAATAATGAGTATGACAAATATGAAATTGAAGAAATAGCTGCAAAAGACGGGATATATGTTTTATGTTTACCACACACTGCGCGAGCTTAACCCCAAAATTGGAGTAATTTTGTTCAACATGTCATAGAACTGAAAAAGAAATGTGATCCGACGATAATCTCCAAGACGACGGGGATGTTTTATAATTAGCGTAAATTCTGGAGACAGTTCAGAGAGCGACATTGACGTTTCCAATTTCGACCGAGAATAAAAAATTTCACCGATATACGGGGTTGTCGATGCATCGCGATTCTTCGATTCTTCAACCAACCGAGTATATTAGAGTTACTGGGGTATTATTTTAGGGCAAATGCATTGCCGTACTCAGATTAGTTTCTACAGTTTTCCTATTGGACTATTGGACTATTGGACATTTACAAAAAGATCTGATACACAAAGGCATGGCCAACCGACTGGACGAATTTCATATTTTTTCCTTTATGTAATAAAGATTCTACAAAAAATGTGACAACTATAGAACAATCTCTTTGATATCGCACGCCAGCAAAATTCTCCTAAGAATAACCGACCGCCGCTTACAGCGTCACAAATACCATCAGAGCAAATTCCCAATATTAGATAACCAATAGAAAACTCAGGATAATTTAATTCCTCCATGGTAATCTGCTTTATTGTCTATAAAAAAAGCATTCGACGTCGTAAAATGAAAATGATTGTGGCAAATACTAAGAGAAATAGCGAATAACCTAATAAGTCTAAATAAGAAATTAGGTGAATCAAATCACAGACTTTCAATATGCAAAAGAAGGTGCGACAAGAATGCATATTGTCCCCCAGGCTTTTTAACGCCTACGGTGAACACATAATCAGCAACACCCTAGACGATTTCGAGGGAGGAGTGTCAATAGGTGGTAAAAAACTGACAAACCTACGATATGCAGACGATACAACGCTGCTGGCGAGAGATGAGTCCGAAATGAGGATGATGTTGAACAGCGTGGAAATTGAAAGTGCTAGGATGGGTCTGGAAATAAATATGAGCAAGACTAAGCTCATAGTGATTGACAGAGCATTAATCGTTCCACGTGCGAACCTCGCAAACCAAGAAAATGTCGATGAATTTGTGTACCTGGGATCGTTAATAAGTAACCAGGGCGGGTCCGAAAAGGAAATAAAAAGACGAATAGCCATGGCATGACGGGCCATGAGCAACCTCACCAGACTATGAAAAGATCGATACATCACAAGAAACACGAAAATCATGCTGGTTAAATCCCTTGTATACTAAGCGAGCTGAAGATCAAAGACAGACTGTCCAAAGTATTTTAAGATTCGCAGGCGACATACTGACCACAAGACGAGATGGCGACAACATGGAGAACTTGATAGTATAGGGAAAGGTGGAAGGAAAATGACTAAGAGGCAGATCACCTGTTAGATGGATAGACCAAGTAAAGAAAATCACAGATGCAAGATTTACTCACGGAGGCAATGGATAGACAAACATGGAAAGGTAAAGTTGATGGATGTACACGATTCCATGAGATCACGATTTCTCAGACATGAGAATACGACTAAGAAGAAGAAGAAGAGAACGTGCATACAACTGTCAATGTCAGTTAAAGGCATAACTTTTATTCATTATTGAATTTTGCGTTCTGTCACACATAAGTTTAGAGAGAAAACTTCACACTAAGCAATTTAAAATGTAAATTCTGAAAAATGTGATATGATAAAGTATCATTTTGTCAAACGAATTCGCAGAGGCAGCTAATGAATTTTATTTCAACGCATATCGGACAAACGTTAAAAAATAATTTAACAAAAACCACTTTAATGAAAAACAAGAAATACACTAATAAACGAATAAAATATGCCATATTTCCAGATACAGATACCAACAAACCTCTATCTATCTCTAAAACCATAACTAATTATGATTGCTATATAAAAGAAATGAAATTAAGTTAAGTAAAAATGTTGATATAATATTTGACCTCAGAAGCAAAATTTGTTTGAAACCGGACCAAATTGTTGTCCGGCACATAAGACTCCACACTGTATTCTCAGTGTGACTTGGTCTGTAGCTTGGTTTTCAGTTTATAAAAAGTCTTCTCTTCTTATTATATCTTGTTCATTATTGTCCAGATGGTGAAATCATAAAATTCTTTCTTACATTCATACAAATTTCCCACAAATTGTCTTGCATATAATGACAAATGATTTCAAGTCGACATAGCGGAAAAATTGGTGATACACTCGCAAGAAGTTTTTGCGAAGCCCACGGTAAGACGGAATATTCAACACTGCCAATTGTCTTTTAGCTATGAATTAATTCTTTGCTATTGTAGCAATAAGGTGGATCAAAAGCCAAAAAGATATGCTTTAGGATACACCATACTATATGCAGTCGAAAAAAAAAGAATTAAATCAATGCAGAACAGTTCGTTGTCAAGTCACTCTATGGTCAGATTTCAATGACATTTTGACTTGACACAACGGTTGCATCATCGGCCTGGCGCAAAAGTTTTGCCCTTGAAAAGCCGTTGTCGCATGCGTCACTGCCAATCACACAGAAACTATTTTTTTAACATTTTATTATTTACTTTTTATCAGAAAGACATATACATATGTGCTGATATAAACTAAAAGGTGAAAAATGGTAGAATTTAAAAAATATAAAACCTGACAAAAACTAATACAAAAGAATGTCAAAATTTTAAAAGTTAAAAGTTTCCTAAGATTATTTGCGTGAGTTAAATCTTTTAAAACACTCTCCTAGGCAAAGTGCCGGCTTTTCTGGACAGGAGAGACAGAAAACCACGGTGTCTTTCCGCATTTTCTGGCTGTAGCACACTTTTTGTTCAGCTTCAGCTTCAGAAAGCAGTTCATTTAGTATGCCGACAAAAAGTACACAAATAGGTTTTTGTACCACCTTAGAGTTTTTCTTTAAAAGGAATAATAAGAAAGCATTTGGTCTTGACAATATATTCCTGACATATTTTTATTATATTCGGTAATCGCCCTTGGCTTGTCAAAGTACCGTCAAACTCAGCAGAAATAAATAAAACTTCTCTCTTATCTCTCCACTTTCCAATCATTATGTTTTCTGAGTATTTCGTAAGCACTTCCCACCTCTTGAGTTTTGCCTCTACAACTTCTTTTGGATTTTCTTTTCTGTTTTTTCTTAGAGTACCAGTGACAAAGGTGTATCTAAGGAGAAGCTCTTTGATTAGGGAAAAACTAATGTAGACATTATCCATAAACACACTATGTCCATGCCTAAATACTGCTGCATCATTGCTAAAACAACATTCGTAGCATGACCTATGCCGGACATATCATCTTCTGCACCAGGATGGCTATACAATTTTACGCAAAACTTCTTATTTTTAATGTATATACGAAAAAGTAATCGTCCTCGCCATAAAGGGATAATAAATTTAATCCATTTCACTATTTACATAATCTTGAATGAATCCAGGTTCTCCTCTTTTTGGATTTTTTGAAAAATGCAAGCAACGCATTATGAGTAGAAATCGGTTTCTACTCGTATATTACGAAAACAAGCCCAAATCGTAAAGTTCGTCTGTCTTCCAATATTCCCGGGTTCTTTTTATTTGAATGTGACCCATATTAAGCCATAAGCCACAAGTCCTAATTCGAGATTGCTCAGTGGTTTTGTCGCTAAGAAAAACCTCTGCTACTTATCTCGTCTCTTCAACAATATATATTAACAACTCATCTGTGACTAATAATTTAAAAAATCCATAAGGTGAGTGGTCTGATACATGTAATCGTAATCCGCAATCCTGAGAATGGAATTTGTGTCAATTTTATCCCGTCAGTCCATCCAATACCCACTTGAGTCCAGTGTCAGCAGTTCATCATCCGTTAAAGATCTCTTTCTATCCCACTCAATACGTCTTTTTTGCGCCCGAAGGGCCTGGGATCTCACTATCCATGACACTACTTCATTGAAAAAAATCCTAAAACCGACAATACGCGTGCTCAAATGGGCCAAAACTGCCCAAAAAAAAAGCAACAGCCCCTCTCGAAAGCCGGCAAAGTACTAACTACCTAAAATTTTAAGTGCACTGGACGCAACTGTCGCGTCATCGGCTTGTGGTGGAGAAAAGCCATGACTCAACATATGCGTCATAGGCAGCGAACGTGTTAAGGCGCTCACTTTTAAGGATATTTTTTCAAGCTTACCGAGTTGTCCGCTCTCGACAGCGTTCGCGCTGGTATCACCAATAATTATGACAGCTTCGCCCTGATCCAAATTTTCAAAATAGCCGGTAACCTCTTCTAGTTTTTGTCCGCGTTCGTTTTCAAAAAGTATTTCGATAATTTCCTCAGGCCCTTCCGTGCTTTTACGGTTTGATACTCCCACAGCTACTTGCCGATTGTCGCTTAAAGCACCCGGTCTGGAATAATTTTCATTCACCATTTTATTTTGCCCAGCGTTCTTCGAGTGCCTCGTGTGCCTCTTTCCGTAGATCGATTTGCATTTTTTTGCGTACAACAGTTTGTCGATAGCATAGAAAAAGTTATTCTTCGTAAGCGTTAGCACGGAATGCAAAGTAGCGGGGTGTGTGTCGGGAAATAACTGCATCAGCCGAAGAAAGTAGAAGAAGTGACTGGACGATTGCTGGATGGGAGTCTCGTGCGATAGCGGCCTGCAAGCATCCACGGTGCTTTCCGTATTCTGAAAATGATAACGCTTTAGATACGTCTGATACTAGTCTGTATCATACAGACATGGCGAAGTTTTGTCAAAAAACACCTGAAAACTCGAACATGAAACAACACTAATTCTAATTAATATATTAAACCTGAGTCTAGTCTATCCAACCTAAGGAAACAAGACGGATAGAAGAAGAAGACTACAGTACAAGATGCCAGAGTGTATGTTACTCTTGGTGCAGTAATGAAAATTGTTTATATTTAATGTTAAAGTTAGAGGTTAAAAGTTGTAAGGCATATTGTTATTAAGTTTGCCGGCTTGGCATGAAAAACGCTTATGAATTAGAGGGTCTGTCTTCGGGATATTAATTTATTTTTTATATATGAAGGAGTACACGGCCAAATAAGTTTATGAAGGAAAACTGAAAACTGCAGAAGCTTACTATTCTTCATCACGTATGATGTGATCGCACATTATAAGAGAGCATACAAATTTACAGCACGAATTTTGAAGTTTCTGTATAATTAAAATGCTATAAGACTATGGCTTCCGCATTTCTTTTTCCTTTAAACTTATTGACAATATGCCTATATTAAATTTGAAAACTCCTTTTTTAAAGCTAACATCTATTGCTATGAAAAACTTAGTTTCCTGTCGATATACAGTCCAAATACACATTCTTTTACGGGCAAGTTGTAGTCATCAGTTGTTAGTTGCATAGCTTTTTCAAAAAAAAAAAGATAACTGCAGACCTGTCTGGGTTGCTTTCTTATAATTTTTATATTTCTCAATTCCTCATTCCCACTATCCTCAGCTACATAATTTTCCTGCTCCCGACAATCAGCCTCTGAGTCATGCAGAGAATGTATAACAATACTTAAGTTTGGTACAAAGTAGTGGTAGTGTGACTAATGGTGAAAAAACTTGCGAATAGTCAAACAATACCAGTACCTAAACAAAAATGGTATAACTGCCATTTTTAGACATTACGAGGAATAATTAGGTGACTTAAGGAACCGAAAACTATATAGCGCAAAACAAGGTTATCAGGAATAATTCAAATTCATCCAGCAAGATGTGAAGAATAGTGGGTACTCAAAACACCTCATTCTACAGGCCCAAGCAGCTATGGAGAAAAGAAGATATGTTTTGTATGATGTAATCATCTCGACAGAAACAAAAATAGTTCGTGGAGAACAACACTGACACGAGAGATAGCGCAACCCAAACCAAATTATGAGCTCATTTTCTTAATGAAATTCATTTGTAATGGTGAATAAACTTGATCGCCCGCCTCACATCAATAAAAAAGAGTCTTCTACTTTGCTACATTATATTCTTTAAATTTTGTGCAATGTTCAAAATAAGAGAGTTTCAGTACAGTGTTGATAAATAACATCAAATTCTAATACCAGTTGCTTAAGTTAAGGAATAAAATTATATTTTTTGTAAATTTCGGGTTCCATAACAAACTCTATTGAATTGAATAAAAAAAATTGCCATCAATAAAAAAGTGGACTTAATTAATCCAAAAGCCTAAATAGATGTAGTACATATCAATTTATATAGAGTCCTAAATTCTGTTGACCAGAAGTTTTCAACTTGATTAATGCATAAATAACTCAAAAACTACAAATTTTTATCAAAAATACACGAGAAAAAAAAACTAAGTAAGATTCTTATTAAACGAAATAGCAATAGGGTACAAGATAACATATTGGCACGCTAGTATCCCTTTTTATTTATAAAATTAATATTGTTAACAAATGTTATTTTTTAAATGAAATTCACCTCCACGTATTGCAGAAACCGTGTACGAAAATGGCAAAAGGTTGACATTATCCGTCTTCCTTAAAGCTAAGTTTTACCGTTTTGATAGTAGTGAGGGTTTTGATTTTTCGGACTGAGGTGGCTTTTACTTGATGAAAATCCATTTAACACAAATTAAATTAGAACAAAAAATGTTCAGATTTTCACAGTTTTTAATGCTGTATGACAGCTGTTTCGGCAACACCCTGCCTTTATCAAATACAAAATATGACTATATTCCGACAGATATATAAAAAAACAGGTAGTAATAGATTTTTAATTACAGGGGAAGGGTTATAAATTTAAATTTAACAACGGAGACGCATTTAAATCCAATTGATTATTAAGAAATATATTCGAATATCTCATTTTGGTAATCTCCATAGCTTCCAACAAATTTAGTTTTTTGCTTTTTGAATGATTGCGTAAAATATCAAAATTGTCGTCAAAGTTGTGCATTTCTGAATTTAAATGAATGGCATAGTTGTTGTTGGTTTTTAGTTTCATAAATTTGGGATATACTCCCTTTTGTAAGCACTTGTTGAAAAACCGAATGATTTAACAGTTTTAACAGTCCCCCGCAAGAAAAGCCCAACTCCAAGGTCAGACAAAATGGCTGAAAGAAGAACGAAGACATCAATATAAGAAAAGAGATATACATTGAATTTATGTGAATTTAATACATTCTTAATTGTCTCATAGACTTAATCCCATAGAATTATAGAATATATCAAACATTATTCACAAAAAGTATCTAAGAAAAAATCCAAATTAGACAATTTAATAAAATCCACAAAAAACAGTCAGTCATTTCGAACTTCTCGAATCATGAATTTTACAAACACTTATTAGCTAATTTAATAAAATCTCAACTTAATACTAGCAGCAAATTTAAGGATTTTTCACATGTCTATGGTAAAATCAATTAAAAATAAGGCTTCCCAAAATAATATAGTATTTCTCAAGAATATATTACAAAATCTAAACAGTTTCTTAATCCAGATATATACCGAAGTATACAATGTGATCCTACAGAATTATTTCAAAAAGAAGTCAAAACAGTAATTACCGATTCATCACTTTTTAAGGACAAGGATAAATACCAGCTAACAATCATGAACCCTCAAGCTCTAACGCATCATCAGTTAAATTTTCAACAAGATTAATTAAAATTTTAGAATATAATACTGCCTTTAAACCTAGATATGCTATCAAAAATTCATTCGAACCAATTAACAAGGTTACAGACATAAAAATTCCTTCTAAGGCAATTCTAGTTTCATTTGATGTTTGAAACTTATTTCCTAGCAATCCACCAATTGAAGTAATAAACATAATAGACAATATTCTCATGCAGAGACAGGTCTACCCTATCATAAAACAAGACTTGCTAGACAGTTTAATGGTTTTTCTAGAGCAAAATTATTTTGAATTTAATGGTCACTTGTATATTGTTAAAGAAGGATAAATTATGGAAAACCCACTTAGTCCACTACTTGCAGAAATTTTCATGGACAGTTTACAAAATATCATACATAAACATTTTCTGAGTAAAGGATTTCTCTGGTGGTATAGATACGTAGATGATGTTTTTGTTTGTTTCACTGGAACCTAAAGACAACTGCATTAATTTTTGAATCATATTAATTCGATACATAAGCGCATAAAATTTACCATAGAGACGGAACAAGATAACTCTCTACACTTTCTGTACTTAATTATAAAAAAAACTACAAGTTAGATTTTTCCATTTACCATAAAGCCTCACACACGGACACAATAATACATAATAACTCAAATCACCTTTACACCCACAAAATGTCTGCCTTTTATGCTTTTATCAACAGACTAATTAATGTAGAAAATTTTGAAAAAGATGTAAATATTATAAAACAAATAGCTTTTAACAATGGTTACGACCGAAAACAAAATTTATAAAACAATAAAATACATAGGACAACCTAGCAAGAAAATTTCGAAACATCTATCTAAATTTGGTATTAATGTTGCTTATAAAACTTAAAATAAAATAAAAATAAAACTAAATTACGAAAAACTCAAAAATCCGGAGTCTACAAAAAACTAAATTTGTTGGAAGCTATGGAGATTAACAAAATGAGATGTTCTAATGTATTTGTTAATGATCAATTGGATTTAAATGCGTCTCCGTTGTTAAATTTAATATACGTGTAATTACAAATCTATTACAACCTGCTTTTTTATATAAGTCTCTCAATATAGTCATATTTTGTATTTGAAGGCACGGTGTTGCCGAAACATTTTTTGTACTAATTTAGTTTGTGTTTTGATTTTTGCAACTTTTAATGTTTACCCAAGATTATCTTTAAATAATAAGCAACCTGAAATAACCTATGTTACACTTATGAATTTTTGAAACGTCGTAATAATTAACGATGATACAGGATGGTGAGTCAACGATAGAGCAAAGTTCATTAACTCATTGGTTTCAAAAGTTGCTAGAAAATAGTAAACGCAAAAGTTTCTAATGATTGTTACGATGCACAATTTAAAACCATTTTAAAGTATACAGGGTAATTCGAAAAAGCGCAAAGAATAAAATATATATTTTTTAAAAATAGAACACCTTACTAATTAATTTCCGTATTTTCAATAAAGTTTAAAGGCTCTCTCAAAATGCTAACTTTGATAGACATTAACATATTTTTCAATTAAAATTAAAGATATAATTGATAAATAAACAAATAATTGGTTCAAAATGGTGAACAATTTTCCCCATATTATTGTCTTTTTTCTTCTTCGTGTTTCGTATCGTAAATATGAAATGTAGTTGGAATCTTATGCTCTAGAGATGATTGTTCGGTTGAATCTGCACGTTATCTTAAGCAAAATCCATTGCATTTCTATTTTTAGAATGCACAACAATTTTTCGAGAGATATTTCAACGCCTCGTAACATGCGAAAAAAACTCACCATTGAGTTGTTTACAAGCTGATTTTTCTTTTCGAGCTCGTTAGGGTTATTTTTAAACGCGAACGCGAAATGATACGGCTGGGACGTAATCCAAGGGCACTGAAGTGGCCGATTTAAGAATATCGTCCTGTTCCTTGGAGAATTCATATCCACCATCACTGCACTTTCTGACTACTAAACTGTCAGATCGATTATGACAATCTATTTTACTGTTTCCTAGGATGCCGCAAACAATATATCTTATTGACATTTGGTAGAAACCTTGGATGTAATTTTTATATATCCAATGTTTTAATATAAAGCGAAAAATACTTTCTACATTTCGGGGATTTAATTGTTGAATATGGTAATCAATATCAACTTCATTATACCCAAAAACTGGAATATCTAGTGGGATACATTGATACAATCACACCACCACCTAAAGGAAGTTCTGGATTAATCAAAACTAACCAAATTAGCACCATCAATAGACGTTACAAACTGTCAGGACCTCTAAGACACTATGAAAGCAGACAATTTCCTCGGTATATTATTTCCTAATAAAGACAATAGATTCATAATTTTTAATGTATTAGAAAAAGGCAGATGGTGATGCAAATATCCCTAAAGATGGGCGAATTTGTCGCGTTTAAATGCTGTTAGTTTGACAGATGACATTTTTTGAAAGCTGAAAAATGGAAAGTTTGTGATTTCTCGTGAGCCTGTTTTTTTTTAAATAAAAATTCGTTGTCAGCACAATAATTAAGGTAGGTACGTGACAAGTAAATACGCGCAACAGTGTTTTAATTGTCAAATAATTAATCACTTTTTTAAGTATTCTTAAAAAAGTTTAAGATGTCAAAAACATATTAAAATATAAATATCTTCAAAACAAGTCCAATGTTTTATTACTTCAATCTAAATTGTTAAGAAATTACGAATATGTCAACACTTCATGTCCTCAGGTTATTTTCATAGACGAACGTGTATATTTGTAAAAGTGAATACAAAATATCTTAGCAACATTATTCAATGAAAAATGTAAGAATGGTTTTCAAGAGATTAATTGTCGTCCATGCAGGAGGTGAAAATGGAGGTTGACGGTTGTTGAAGGTTGTTTGGTGTTTTATTCCAAGTCAAAATCTGCAGATTACCATGGCGATATGAATAGTGAGATATTTACTAGACAATTACTTTGAAACCTGAAAGTGCTGTCAGTTATAATTATGAATAATGGTCCATATAACAACATTTCATGAGAAAAGGATCCTTTAATTATTCAATATAGTGAAAAGAAATCGCAAAGAAAAGAAATATGTGATAGATGAAATCAAAAGTCATGTCATGAAGTCCTTCGCAGCCCTCTACACAATTGTGAATTCAATGTTTTCAGTTTATATGGTCGCATTCTAAACATTATTATAATAGTGATTAAACTGTTTTAGCTATGTGGAATGAAACTCTATTACAAGTTACACCTGAGTGGTATAATAAAACCATTTTTAATGAAATAGAGCCCACAAGAATTTCATTGGACTCAGAAAGTGATACTAAGTGAGCTTTAAATGAAAAACTATCATTTAAAACGAATTAATTCATTGGGTACCTACTAACTAAAAATAATTTAGCGTTTATTATACAATGCATTGTAAATATTATGTGGTGATATTCTTATGTAAAATGGGGAAAACTTACATATATTTTGTTTTGCTTTTTATATAATTTATTTGTGTTTATATTCACCTATTTGCGACCCCCGTTAAAATCAGGTTGTTTTTTATAATAAATAGTCCTCTGTATCTTGTGTTAATTTACTTTTAAGTCAAACTTATTTAGTATAGAACTAAAAATAATTAAAATAAACATTAACCTTAACCTAACCTTACTTACTAACCCTTGTCGTCATCGGTCATAACATGAACTCGCGACCTTACTCTCCTCATTACCGAAGTACGTAAATTTATTAATTCTTTTAATCTTCACTATAATAAAAAATCGTTCTCAGTACCGAAAATCGATGGTTTCAACCTTTTTTGTAATTAAGTAATATAGGATCGAATAAGGATGTTTAAAAATCCCATTGATACTTTATCGATCAATTTAAGAATTTTATATTCGAAATACTTTCTCCGTAATGCTGGAGTAAAGTGGAAACTGTTTATCCCTTGAATCAGTGCCATTTAACTCAATAAGAGATTTAAAAAGAATTACGTCCTTTGCAGAAAATTTTTCCTCTTAATTAGACAAGACATGTATTAATTTTTACCGTTTAATCTCCCCAGATTTAAATTCTCTTGTATCGGGGATATCTACAAGAAGTGGTCTACACTACCCCAATGCGTGATATCGAAGACCTAAAGAATAGGAAAACTGGGTTTTATAATGATATAAAAAATAATCCAGCACATTAAGAAGGCAATTATGCGTAGGTTAAATGCACGTATATCGTAAGGCGGACATTTTTCAACACTTACTATAAAAATTGTATTTTTGATTCGCCTTATATGTCTTGCAATTTTACTGCGTTGTGATTTGAGTTGTATTTTTTAAATTAAATATTTTTAAAGGAGATATTATTAATTAGATATTATTATTACTAATTTTAACCTACTAAACTAACGAAAACTAATTTTAACCTAATAAATGTTCAATAAATATAGATTAAAAAAAACAGAAGAGTAGAAATTATTAGTTCTTCGAATTATTTTTTCCCGTCTGTAAAATACCCAATTACACAATGATCTAGCGTGCGGGAAGCGTCACTTTACCACGTCAGTTTCGTTTCCCACGGATCCGAGTCACTTCGGACATTTCCGGGATTTTACCCTACCGGACGGGTTTGGGAGCAATCGGATGTTTTCGTTGATCTCACGCGTTGTATTTTGACGTTTTTCAATTCTGACGGTCATGTCAGTGAATGTATTCGTGTTGTTTTGCGAAAATGTACCCAAAAACTAACGGTCGTAGAAAAAGTATAGTACGCAACACGTTCGGTAAACTTTTTAAGTCACTCGTTTATTAAACACTCGCTCCGCTCGTGGCAAATAAAGTCGTGAGTCACATGCCGTTTACCGCACTTGTTGCACAATATACTATTACAGAACGGAGTAGAAAAAATAATAAACTTTTTAAAAGATAATTCCTATTAGAAATTATCAACATCCTTACTCACTCAGAAACTGAATGAAGCAATATGGTTGCTTAATAATAAAGCACTTTCATTGTTGAACATCACATTGAAACATTTACAAAACACAACTATCTAGCTGCATCCAATCCAAGAAATTGTCCACAATAATTTCTTATCGACATCCAATGCTTTTGATGTAATTGCATTATTTGGAAACTGAAGGAATCGTGAAAAAATTGCATTAAAGGAAATTCTTTCTGATAAACTGATACATCAAAAAAATTTTTTTCAAGGTCATGCGTAACATTTTCTTTAAATTTAGTTAAGAGTGTTATAGGTGGTTAATAATTAAATAAAAAGTCGAAGCGTGTTATATTAACAATGCATTCGTAAAATTTCGTTCTATCTATTTTTGTTGAAGATGAAAAGTAAAAACATCATGTTTCAGTTATATTTCTAACGCGAAGATTATATAACAAGCTTAGTTAAAACTCAGATATTGACGTTCAAGAAAAATGGTCGCACACGCCTATCAGTTTTTTCTTGCTCATTTTGTACAAATAGAAAATACACAGGGCGGCTCAATGAGAAGATGTCGATACCGACTTTTTTACTATTACTAGTCACATTAAAAAAAAATATCATTAAAACCTGTCCCAAAACACAAACAATCAAACTGGAGTCAACTTCATCCAAGTAGGCAACCAAATTAACGCTTGGGGACGATAGAGGGAGTCCAAACAAGTACTCTCCAATCCAAAGATGCTATATTTGAATTCCTAACATAAAATACCATAAATACCATACTGCCTCCCCTGCAATTACAGCCCTTTCAATGTAGACGGTAGCCACTGCATCCAGAAGTATTTGTAATTAGCCACGTTTCAGTTCGCTCAAGCACATGAACTTGTTCATCCATTAAAAAATCCATAATTGACACAAAGTCCGGACGGCTGAAAGTCTTAAATTGACTCTACATTTTGTACAACAAGAAAAACATATAACAAAATATAAAATAAAAGAAAAGAAAAAATAAATCAGTATTATATTGTAATAGAAAATAAAGGAGGACATAAACTTTCACCCCAACTCGTTCATAACTTTCTGGAAAAACTCATCGCCCAGTTGACTGTTCCGTATATTTTCCACGTTTTTTGAAACCGACCCATGCAATTACGAAACTTTCAACCAATTTTAATAGAAAACGCGATAATCCATCGGCCAAACTGTTTTCTGGACCTTTTTTAGTGTTCAATGTGGAAATCATATTCTTGAAAATCTACCCGACATAACTTATAATTCGCTCCACGAACGTACGTCACTGGTGTAAGCAGTGTAATGCCGCTAAAGCCTGAAATTCGGTTATCATTCGATTTTTTCATTTGTTTGATATAAACGCCCACCTAAACCGCATCCTAATGTGTCGAGTTGTATGAAAAACGGTCTAACCGAGTTGCGATTGTCAAATAATATTATGTTTTAGATAGCTGTGTTCTGAGGATATTTTGCTTGCTTTTTCTACGATATGCAACTCTTGCTGTATCAAAACATGTTATGAATCAGCGTCTTAATTCAAGAGCAAGAGCATTATTATAAAGGCACGTATGGATGCTTTGATACAGTTGTTGTTTAAGCGATGCATCATTCCTGACATCTATGGCACAGGTTTTTGAGAATATTTCTAACGCTTTCATGGCGATTTTTCTATCATGTTTGATAATCTTATTTCCTGTTTGCCATAACGAGGGCTACATTACTTAACATACATACATAACAACATTGAATTAAGAAAAACACAACAGTCTTCTGTCATTATCACTAACGGTAAAAATTTCTTCGTGTTCCTGTCTCTAGGGCTTCTTTTGCTATCAAAAATGATGTGAAATTTCATGGGTGGGTAGAATACAAGCCAAATGTTAATCTTTAATAAGACGATCCAAATAAATACACATATATCACTTCATCACCTAAACCATTACAAAAAAAATTCGCTTCAATAGGGGTGCAATAATTAGTACGATAGTTTGATTTTCTTTTATAAGAAGTTTATG